GATGAGGTCAAAATCCGAAAAAGGACACACCAACAGGGACCGCAGCACCAGCATCGCCTGGATATACTCCTCTGTGCTCTCGCCCTGTCGCTGCTTTCGCTCCCTCAGCCCCTGCTCTCTCTCAAACTCGGATCTTCGAGCTTGGAAGTGCTGCTGCAGGCCATACCGGAGATTCGACCAATCGTGCACTCCCGAGGTACGTATATACATCCAGTACCAATCCTTAGCCCTTCCACTCACCAGACAATGGAAGTCACGCAGTACGTCAGACCATGGCACTTGGTACAGCGACTTTAAGTGCTCCAGGCGGAAAATGAACCCAGCCACTGGCATGCCTTTGGCTTCGCCATCAAATACCAGGCCCCACTTCCTGATGTGCACTATATCCGGTCTCGGATCGCCCACCGTGGTTCGCCTATGCGGCCTGTGCACGTCCGGACCTAGATCCCGCATCCACGGATCCGCCGCAGCCTGCCGCTGCTCCACATGCGCTCGCTGCTCTGCCTCCAACGTCCGGTTATCTACAAACAGGTGAGTCAGTGCCGCTGCTGCTGGTCTACCGCCTAATACCTCTCTTTCTTTTTCTGCCGGCTCGTACCCGCTCATGGCTGGCCGCTGCACCTGCGCGTGACCTCTGTCTGGTATTCCCACCGGCGCGCTTTGTGTCTTCTCTTGCCTCAGCGCCGCCACTGCCTCGTTGATCTCCCGCATAAAGGACAACATACTGGCCTGCATAGTGTCGCGTATGGACTGCACCTCGGATGCCAGCGACGTGCGATATGTTTCATGCGCCTGATCGCCGTTGATCGCAGACCGTATTTCACTTGGCAGCGCGGACTCGGCGCTGCCGACCTGTCCTTGTTCACCACTGCTGCGTTCTTGTGCGCGCGCATCGGCCGCCGCCCCGGAACTGTTCGACAACTCATCCGAAAATCCTCTGAACGCTGCCTACGCCTACGCTTGGCGGCGACGCGTCGATGAGCGCCTCGGCTGGTTTGTCCACCTCACTCAATCCTGCGTAAGGAGGCGAGTCCAAGTGCACCAACTGCCTATGCCTGCTGTACTCCTGGCTACGCCTAACTTTCCGGGTTACATTCGGATCTAAATTCATCGTAAGCTACACACGCCGTCAGTACCCAAATATATATGTATACTCTATTATAACCAGGTATGGCTTTATGCTGGAAATCCTTCTAAACCAAACAATAAACGAATAAATAAACCGACCTGGGTACGGATATGTGTCTCTAAATGGGGGATAATATACTCCCGCCGCTATATACACACTATATAACCGCAACACCAGCTTATATACATAAAATAATTAAATATACAAGTATATGCAAATACCAAAAAAAAAGAAAACCACAAATAACCAAGAAAATGGGAATAAGTAAATACAAGCACATAAATGTACTCCACACGCAAAAACATCCAATAAATAAATAAATCGTGAATATAAAATAGGCCTCCAGCAAAACCAAAAACAAAAACTTAGACTAACAAAAATAAATAAATATATAAGTGCCACACGCAAAAATATGGGGATAAATAAGTAGAATAATAATAAATATATGTCACCGAGTTCGACGAATCAATAAGTAAATTCAATTTAACCAAGCACGTATCCTCTACCTAAAAGAATAAATACCTAAACCTAAATAACAAGAAAAACCTTATATAAAAACAATAACCTTCAAATTCCCGCCCTACGCACAGACTCGCCAATCTGTGCCAAAATACGCTACCGATACATATTAATAGCGATGCCTCAGCCCAGGGACAACTGTGCTAGACCGGTACCATTCACAATGGACTTCCTGTCTATTGACACTTATTTGCTGCTACGCAAATAAATAAATAAAAGGTAATTAATACACTAACTGACTATAAGACCATTCAAAAAAAACAGATTCTCACAATTACATACTCAACAACCAGGCATGTATGGGTGAGATGGGGATCCTCCGTATGACGCTGCACCACGGCACGCTGTCACTGCAGAAGGTAAACAACCAAAACAAACATATATTTATCGCACGCTTTATACCACCAAATTTCTCCCAGGCGCCCACCAAACCTCAAATCCTGCTTGGGCTATGGCGAATTGCTGTTCCCATGCTCTGCTACGTAGGGCAACGATGCTCCTTCCGCTTGGGACAGGACTTGGAGCTACTACGCAGCAACACACAAGAACTCATACCAAACAACAAAAAAAACACAAACAACAAAAACAGGGCAACTAATCTATTCTTTACTTAACATTAAACAGACATCCCTATCTCGATCTCTTTGGCTCCGGGACATCCCGTAGGGCAACAATGAGTGGGTACTAAGACCCCTCACAGACCTGCTACATCTGCCCCTTCGCTGCACCTACTCCGTTGGCCGCCTTCCTACACCGCGCTGTAGGAAGGACACAACTGCGGCAACGATGGCTGAGCCCTATTGGAGCCCACCCACGGACCTGGCAGTTGCACCCCTTCCCGCCGGCTAAGGGGCCACTAGCAGCTATTGCTGTAAAGTTATTGTGAACCACGTTATTAAATTAAAAAAAAAAAAAACAACAACCAGAAAAACAAGACTGGCTTTTCTCCTTCGCTTCTGACTGGGGCAACCTTTGCTAAACGTATACCCAGGTGCATTTCATTGGGCACCATCTTGTTATGTCCGCCTTTGCCATTGCATCCCCGGTCGCAACGCCGGCTAGCCATCGGCTCAGGGTCAGATTCGACCGCGACAGGGGGGCGGCAGACCAACAATCGAAATTTATATTTTTTTTCAAAACACACCTACTCATATTGTCGGCTGGGGGACGCCTGTGGAATTTGAGTGCTGTCATGTAGCCGCGTGGCCCTCCCTACCTTGAGCCGGTATTGGCATCTTTTGCCGGCTCCCTTAAATGACCTTGCTTTGGTTTTCCTTCTGCTCAGTGACTTTTGTCACCCCATCTCACCCCATAAATGGACTCTACTCCAGATTCATGCTCAATTTTCAATTTTATTACAATAAAAATATATTCGTGTATTTAGGCCATTGAGTTTTGGGACGCTGCAGTTTGTTGGCTCTTTGTGCCTATTTATCTTATTCGATTTTCGAACCTCCTAACCTACCTATACTCGAGTATGTGGTTATGAGGGATGTAATGACAAGGAAATAAACAAAAAAAACTGCGCCGCTCCAATACACATTACAATATCCTTTCTTACATCCTTTAAATCTTTATTTACAATATAGTTACTTACTACAGTAACAAAACCTGCATAAAACAATTTAAACAGAAAAATGGAATAATAACATAAAACTGTCTTTTATTCCCCAAGTTTCCGTAAATGAATCTTTGTCAAATCTAAAAAATTGTATTGCTTTAGGGCTTTGTTCAAACAATAATAAAGAATGATATAATAATATAGTAAACATATATTAAAAAAAAAATTTCATTTGACAATGTAGCGATGTGTCGTAGAATGCAGAATACTCGTCTTCTAGCTGTTGGGGGCAGCTGTTATTGTGTAGCACTGTTGTCAATTGCGATGAAGTTTTTTATAGCCTGTACCCAAAGGGTGAAAGGCTATACTAATTTTGTGCGCATGTATGTAACACACAGAAGGACACGTGGCAGACCCCACAAAGTATATATATTCTTGATCACGATGAGAAGACGAGTCGATATAGCCATGTCCGTCTGTCTGTATGAGCGCAAGGATCTCAGTAAGTACAAGAGCTAGTATAACCAAAATTGGTATCAAGGTTCCTATAAGCCCTAGGCAGATCGAGTTTGTTTATTTTTTCTGATACACCCCCCCACTCCCCCGCAATTCGTGTTTTTTCTTATAACTCGGAATTTTTAAATCAATTTTGGTAGGTACATCCAGTTAGTACTAATGTGTCCGTGTTTCATCATGATAGGTCAATTCTGAAGAAAGTTATAGCCATAAATAAAATCGCTGCTCATGCGCTGCCTGCAGCTCTGTCGGCAAAAATCGATCTAGCCCTGTCTGTCTGTCTGTCCGTCCGTATGAACACCTGGATCTCAGAGACCATAAGAGCTAGAGACACCAAATTTTGCACAAAGATGCCTTATGTGTGTATTCTATACGAGTTTGTTTTATTTTTTTGATTTTGCCCCCCACTTCCCCCCTATGGGAGTGTTCCCGATTTTCCATTCGTATAATCGGCTATATCTCGGAGACTATAAGACCTAGGGATATCAAATTTAAAGTCCAAGATGCCTTATATGAATACGCAGAAAATGTGTATTTTTGAATTTCCCTCCCTCCCCCCGCTCCCCGCCAAATAGTAACTCCCATAATTCTTGGAATTTTGAATACCCCCAGTTAGTTATTATGTGTCCGTATGTCAAGTTTCCCTATAATAGACCGATTTAACAAGAATTTATAGCCATAAATATATTTGCTGCTGTGCCGCAGCTGTTTGCAGTCAACCAAACAGCAGACTGCAAACAGGTTTAAATAGACACGAATAGATGCGCACAGGCATACTTGTACATACACTCACACAGTCGCAATTGCTATGTAAATGTGCAATTATACACCCTTTACGTGAGTTTGAATACCGAGAGAGGTACAATAGATCCAAATTTCATTTAATTTAATTTTCTTAATTTTTTTATCTTCTATAATTATATTATTAAACATATGTAGAGTATTTCAAAGTCGAGACACCCGACTTTAGCTTTTTTACTTGTTTTTTATAAAAAGCATAGATAAAAAATTAATGGATAAAAATTATAAGACTCTATTTCATATGGTTTACAAATGATTAAACATTCAGAACAAAAAAGGGGCGCAAACCTGATGACGCGCAGTGTACAAGTATATGTTGCGCATTCATATAACAATATTATGTGCCACTGGGTATATGAACTTTTGACTAATTTAGATCAATATGTGATAGGAAATAATATGCAGTAAGTAAAATCAAATACATTTTAAAGCAAAAGTAATTAGTTCCGCAAGGAAGAGAAAAAACTGATAGTATTTAAAAATGTAATATTTTGAACAATTATATATCAGGGTTGCGTAGAGCTTTTATTTAATGCAAAATAAAAAGTTTCTTAAATTTGGTGGAAATATAATCTTAAGGCCGATCCATTGTGGCAACTAAGACGTTCGGATCACTTGAATCAGGCAGGTCGTCACGCCTAGGACGATTGTCATCACCGTCGTCAGCCGTGGGCGATTCCTCGGAAGTTTCAAAATCTTTAATCATTTCTAGATATTTTGAGTTTTCTTCACCGCTAAGTATTTTGAATGGTTGATTTCTGCCTACTATAGCAACAGCAATGTTCTAAAAATATTATAAGTCATATTATATATGGTATAAATTTGAAATCAATAGAAAATTTTACCATTTGGAATGAACTTTCTTCTTTAGTTGTGTGTTCATCATTCGGCAAAGAGCCTCGAATCGCTTTAATACCGTGACATATAATCTCATCCTTAGTACAGTTGTTAAATTTTAATAAGTTTCGCTCTAGATACGTTCTCGCGCTTTGCGAGCGTGATCCAATTGACATAGCTTTGCAATTGTAATAATTTGCAGAGGGAACTACTTGGTAAATATGAGGTCCCTTTTCGTCGTAGCCTGCTACAAGTAGGCCCACTCCGTAAGGACGCCTATCATATCTCTGCGTTGTTGATTGCATTTTATTTCCCAAATTTGTAATCAGTCGGGACACGGGATAGTTAGCATCATAAGAATGCTTATAGCTTAAACATTCTGAACGCAAATACTTGCTAAGAACCCTGGCATCTGCCGTAATTCCAGCAATTGATATTCCAAGGTGATCGTCAATTGGAATAATTTTTCTTTGTGATGCAGACAATTCAGATGGTGGTTTGCACAGTGCTACGAGAACAGCGAAATCACTATTTTTTAACCCCACCGTAGCGGTTCCAAGCTTTACTGCTTCCATAGCGTACTCCACTTGATGTAGCCGGCCCTGGGGACTCCACACAGTAACATCACTATCATACTGATTGCGAAACTGAACACAAAATAATTTTATTTCAAATACAGACAAAAGACAGCATAAAATATGACAATTGCATTTACCATTTTTCTTTTCAAGCGGTATTTAAACTGATTAAACCTCAGAAGATGACAAACAATAAATTTCAGTGGTGGTACGTTAGACTAGAGATGACAATAACTATGAATATACTTCACTTCCACAGTATCAAATATTCATTCTTGGTAGGGAAATATTATTTAAAGTAACAGATACAATGTCACTGTTAAGAATATGTATATTCTTGACACTATGAAATAGGGAAGCCCTACCCAACCCTACCATATTCAAGAGACATTTTTAATAAATTAGGTTTAAGCTATTTTGAAATAATTTTAATTCAAAATGAGAACGATCAATATATCAAAGGTGCACCCACGATATGTTTGTGAGAAAACATTGGAAGTGTTCGAACATATGTATACTAATAAACAGTAAAGAGAGGATTTAGCCATCAGTAATTAAAATTCCTGAAACAATTTTCAGAGCCATTTTTGTACAAAATACCAGCTACCACATGTGGATGGGTGATCGCGGTAATCAGGCCAATCACACCTAAGGGGAGGGCGAACATTGTACGCACACATCATTTGATAAATGCTTTCAGCGAGTAACACGAAATGAATTATTTTTTAAATTTTTAGTATACCCTGTACCCGTAAAGTAAAAATGGTATATTAGGCTTCTCCGACCCCATTAATTATACATATTCTTAATCACCACGACGAGACGAATCGATCTAGACATGTCCGTCCGTCCATCGGGATGAAACTCAAAACCTTGGCCCTAAAATTTCGTCAATGTCCACATTTCACAAGCTATATAAACCAAACACAATTAGTATATATGTATGTAATTTAAACAATTTCATCCAAATCGGTCACTTCTGAGGAAAGTTATTAGCGAATCCATTTCACCCCAGTACTACGCCCACAAATATTTTTTTTATTTATTTATTTATTATTTTATTTACAAGTATTCTGTGCGCAACACTAGCCAGGTAAAGGAAACGTTTACTTTGAAATGGATTAAAGTTTTCTTTTGTAATATGGTCAGAAATAAGTTTGGAAATTGACGCAGTTGCCATTTTGAGCCCGTGCATTACCACATTGGCAAACAAATTCAAATCTTATGAATACAAATTTAAATTCAACACCAACACAAAATTTCAGCATCTTAAAAATTTCTTTCTATTATAACCTTTTACTTTAAATTTATAATAATAACTATACATTTTAATTGAGAAATTTATTTTTTTGGATCTATCTTCCGACTATTTTATTAGACCAATAAAAAACCAGCTGTGTTCCAGTTATGTATATAGAGACGCATGCATTTTGAGAATCCCTTACATACATATAGAATGGATCTCTTGATAAAATTCTCGCTTTTTAATTACACAGGAATACGGGTATATAAGTATGTATATCATTTGGTAGTTTCAGGGCATAATTGAATGAAAATTGGAATTGATTACACGCAAGGACAATCGAAACATATAAGAAGTTTTTTTGATGTTAACCATATTTGCATTGACGTACGTACTATACTTTTTAGTATTGTGAAAGAAAATTCGGTTATTTCATGGACTTACGGCTTCCTTACACTAATAGAGTGTTCTTTGAAACGTGTTGCATCTTTTATATAACTGCAGCCAACATGAAAGTCGAAATTTGTGAGAAGTTTTGGAATGAAAAGTCTCGTTATGATGTCGCTGAAAGACAATACTACGAAGGATTACACAAAGCAAGTTTTTATATTTGTTATAATATACTGATATGTATAGACATACATATGTATGTATTTTAGAAATATGTACATATGTATGTATGTATGTACATGCATACGTACATGCGTAAAAATACAGGCAGTGGCAACCAGCGTATATGATCCTATTTTTAAATTAAAAATAGTAGACTATTTTAATGCTATATGTAGCTTAACCACGCTTTAATTTGTACTTAAATATTTTATTTATTTTTTAATTTTAAAATGGATTTACATTTAATTCTTTTTAAATTAATGTTGGGTTAAATCTATTTGAACAGGTGATAAAACAATAAAAAAGGGGAAACAACATTATATATCAAAAAAATTTAGGGAACTGGCATAGCTAACTAACTAGCTGGAATCACATTCTGAGTTAGTTTCTGAGTGTAGACACAGGTTCGAATCACGCTGCAAGTAATCATAGCTTGAAGAGCCATACTGAAATCTCACAGTTAAAGTAAAAAGACGACACATTCCGGTGATGGTTTGACTACTACTTCAGTTTCTTCAAATATGTTCTGCAATCAAATATGTGTTTTGCTTTTTTATGTATAGCCTGTATACCTGTATAGCCTATAGGCTATATTAGTTTTGTGCGAATGTATGTAACACACAGAAGGAGGCGTGGCAGACCCCAAAAAGGATACATATATATTCTTGATCAGCATGACAAGACGAGTCCATCTAGCCCTGTTTGTCTGTCAGTATGAACACCTGGATCTCAGAGACTATAAAAGCTAGAGGTACCAAATTTTGCTCAAAGATTTCTTGTGTGTACGCTGTGCAAGTTTGTTTCATTTTTTTGATTTTCCCACCCACCTTACCCTCTATGGGTGTTTTCCCGATTTTCTATTTTTATAATCGGCTATATCTCGGAGACTAAAAAAGCTAGGGACACCAAATTTTAGTCCCAGATGCCTTATGTGAATAAGCAGAAAATGAAGTGGAATTTCCCTCCCTTCTTCGAGCACACCAGGCTCGGTCACTTTGCATATTGCGGTCGGTTCGAACGAGTACCGGCCTTCACTGGTTTGCTTTCGAACAGTTCAGGCTCGGTCACTTCGAGTATTCTGTTCGTTGCGAACGGGTACCAGCCTTGATTGGTTTGCTTTCAAACACTTCAGGCTCGGTCACTTCGTTTAAGATGACTGGGTCCTGATCGAAGCAAACCAAACTTTGCAGAATGAGCGTTTGATCGAACGAGTATAGTGCCGTTATTTTTCGAGTATTGTTTGGGTATTGCGCGAGCTATACTCGGGTAATACTTGAGTATGAAATATGCATGTATGTACATATTTATGTATTTGTGCGTGCACGTGTTGTTTGCAATTATGCGCAAGCATGTGTATATGTGTGTAGGTATTTTAAATAAAGAGGTACAGAATGAAAAGAAAACATATGTATACATATATTTATTTTTATATTATGATATTTAGCATAATTTAATTTCTTAAAAAAAGGAGGGCCTGCATCGGAGGGCCTGCTACTAAGCACTTCATCGGTGGTCCATGAAACTCTCGAAACCAATATTTTACGGTATAGTCTGAAGGAGCATTAGCCCCATAATTTTTATCCAACTTTTGTTTAGTTTCCTTCGCGGTTTTCTCAAAAAATAATGTTTTTTGAGAAAACGAAATTCATTTTTTTCCATGCTAACATGAAAAACTCGTCAACAACTATCAGCTATAAAAACAAAACTAAGGGCTGTATCAAGCTTAATTTCAACATGCCTACCTAATTATGAATGGCGCCATGGTGGTCAAGGATGTTACTTTTCACCTAACCTAGTATGCATGTCTATTCGTGTCTATGTGAGCATTTTTCAAGTCAACCAAAGCACCAACATCAACAACAACTTCGGGCAGCGTTTGGGAAGCAATTATATTTATGGTTATATCTTCCGGTTAAATCGGTCTACCATAATGAAATTTGGCATACGGACACATAATCACTAACTGGGGGTATTTGCAAAATTTCCAAAATACACATTTTCTGCGTATTTAGAAAAGGCATCTTGGACTAAACGTTGGTGGCCCTAGGTCCCATAATCTCCAAGATATAGGCGATTATACGAGTGGAAAATCGGAAAAACCCTCTTAGGGGATAAAAGGGGTGGGAAGATAAAAAAATCAAACAAAATTTGGTGTCTCTAGCTCTTATAGTTTCTGAGATACAGGTGTTCATACGGACAGACAGACCGACTGACATACAGTCAGACAGGGCTAGATCGACTCGGCTGGCCATGGTGATCAAGAATATATATACTTTGTGGGGTCTGCCACGGCTCCTTCTGCTTGTTACATTTTTTGACCTCCCTAATATATATTTAATATACAAGTATAAGTATAAATTTTGTTGTTGTTTGTTGAGTTAGCCCCTAGTAATAAACTAGTAGCTGAGTATTTTACAATCGGTACTTGAACCAAGTGTAATTTGGAGGAGCTGAAAGGGAATGTGAGATCAGAGCTGAACGAGAGTTATTGTGTTTCTGTCTGTTTATGAAATGCAGGGGTTTATATACAAAATTCAGAATGTGCGTAGGTCTAATTATTACTAATAAGTGATTCTTAAAATAAATCGTTGGTGGAGTGTTGTATGCAGCTAGCTCAGTCGGTGCGTGCATATCCAGCACGCGGCGCCCGGTTGGTGCTTGTTTTGTGCACATGCGCGGCCGCTATTCTAACAATAGCTAAGCCGTTAAACAGTTGTTTAACCTTCACTTATATTGACAGCGAGAGTGTGCTGGGGCTCTTCTGGTTGCCGATTGATATCATCCAGTTCGATGTTTGTCGGCAGGTGCCTTTTTGTTTCGGAATATTTCATTACATTGCTCGGATGTAGATGCAATAACGTGATATGTTTTTATTACAATTAAGGCATCCACGGGAACGGCATTCTAGGGCTCTATGATTTTTTCCCAAGCAGTTTACGCATAATATTTTCGTTTGTGCCCAGTTTAGTCTTTCTTAGGCTGATTTTGCAATGAAAAATGCGGTGGTTGGACTGATTACAAAACGTGCATGTTTTGTTTGTGTCAGCTTCGGCCGATGCATATGCCTTAAATTTCTCCTTATTTCCTTTCTTGCTTCCGATGGCCTCCAAAGCCAGAAAGCGTTGCATAAGGAAGGACATAAACTCCTTTAAAGATTGGAGTCCAGTATGGACTGCTCATACAAAGTATGAGTTTGGAAATCCAATTTCTTCGTCAAGATGTGCAGAAACATTGGGTCCCAAGAATGGGTGCTGATATTCATGTTCTTTAAGGCAGCCATTGTTTTGCGAATAATGTCATGAAACTGTTTTATTGACCAGGCTTCACTCACAACTTGTGGCTGGTCAAAGAGTTTTTTCAGTAGAGATGAACATAAGACTCGTTGATTATTAAAACGATCCGGAAGCATTTTCCATACTGTCTCGTTGTTTGCTTCAGTGAGCGAGAGGTGTCGAATCAATCGTTCTGCTTCACCTTGAACATTGACCTTCAAGTACCACAATTTTTGGATTGTGGGAAGTTCGGCCTCATGAATCATCTTCTTGAAGATGTCATCGAACTGTTACCACTTGAGATAGTCACCATCAAATTGCGGTATTGACATCTTCGGCAGCTGCAATGACAATTGACTTGTCATTTGTGTTGTTGCGTCAAGTGCGGGGTCTGCAGTAGCTTTTGCATTCATCTTTATGACAGCACTTTCGGCAGAAATAAAATTGGCTGCATTATCGCCCAGGCTGTCAGGATTTTCAAAATTTTTATAGATTTGAAAATGGAGATCGGAAATTTGATTTCAATATTTCTTCACCATAGGCCTCAGTTGTTATTTGTTTTCAAGTGTCCTTTGTCCCATTATGCGAGACAATGCTTTCATCGAAGCGCTTTGATGCTTTATATGCGGCTCAGTATCTTGTGGCCTTTCAGCATTATTGCCTAACAGGCTAGTGTTCATGTCAAACGTTTAATACGTTAAATACTCATTAGCGATAACTATATTTTTGTATAATAATCGCTTTCAAAATAGCTGTGGTCTATTATTTGACCATTTAAGGCAACAAAAACATTATTATTGCCCGCTTGAAACTGCTCCCGAAGATGGCTTAGCCTTGCCTTTTTTTCTTCGTAGTAAGCTTTCGCTTTTCTATCCTGGGAATCCTTTTTGTAATTCCTTATCAGGGTTTGAATTTCAAGCTTGCTTATTATGCAGCAAATCCAGTTATGGAGATAGAATTGGCATTTCTCCCATTTGGTGTTAGTTGGTATTATCAGACCCGTTGGAGGTGTTTTTGTTTTGCTTTTTAAAAGCTGGATGTGCCTCGACTCACACCGATGAAAGGTCAATGACACTAAATACAAATGGAGGTCCGTCCGTTTCTGGCGGCGGATTTATCCCGAAGTGTTCCCTCGTTGAGATTTCTGGGGCTTCTGTGAGCACGACCAGAACTGCCGCCCAACAAAGCTCTCTTCAATAGAGTTGATGTTGGTCGCCTTGTTGACCAATCCTTCCAATCCAGTTGCGTCCTCAAAGTGTGTGATCCTATTTTAAGGATTACGTCGGGATCACCAAAAATATGTTGTTGTTTGTTGAGTTAGCCCCTAGCAATAAACTAGTAGCTGAGTATTTTACAATCGGTACTTGAACCAAGTGCAATTCGGAGGAGCTGAAAGGGAATGTGAGATCAGAGCTGCACGAGTGTTATTGTGTTTCTGTCTGTTTATGAAATGCAGGGGTTTATATACAAAATTCAGAATGTGCGTAGGTCTAATTATTACTAATAAGTGATTCTTAAAATAAATCGTTGGTGGAGTGTTGTATGCAGCTAGCTGAGTCGGTGCGTGCATATCCAGTGTAGGTGTAGGTAGACGTGGCACCCGGTTGGTGCTTGTTTTGTGCACATGCGCGGCCGCTTTTATAACAATAGCTAAGAATAGCTGCCTGCGTTGGCTTTATATGCACATGCGTGGCCCATGCGTAGCTCTTGATACGGTCAAGTGCGTGTGACATTGACAGTACGATGAACTTCAGCGATGTGGGGCATATATGAACACCAGCACATTTCAATTACAGATTATGAAAATGTCGCAATCCACACATTCATTATATGGCGCACTATTTATATAATTTTTTGATGTTTATCTGTTGCATATGTCGTACGCATAAATTATTATTTTAACGCTCCGTTTAGTAATTAATCAAAATTTTTATTTTTTTGGCCCCCCGTTTCGAAAAATCTGCGTACGATCTTGTGTATGAAGTGTGTAGGTTTTCCTGCTTACACATGAAAATTTCCTTGGATTTTGTCTACAATTATTATAGCAATACTTTTTCTGACTTTTATTTTCATTGCTGTACCTCGTAAAAGTACAACTAAAAAAATAAAAATTTGTTTTAAATATTAGTGGAATAACAAATAATTAAAAATGTACATTTATGTCTCTTTTTAAGGTCACTGATCAGAAAAACTGCTGTCCTTTAGTTTCTGAAATTGCAAAAGCAAGAGAGCACATACAAACTTCATTGGAAAAGGTAAATACAAAAAATATGATACAGAAATGGATTTTCTTTAAATAGTGAAAGGGTATATTGCTCTTGGTGCATAAATTTGTAACACGTAGGTGGACCAGCAGGAACTCAAATCACAATCAGCAACAGCTGACTGTCGACGCTCACATTTGACTGACTAATTCTGTAAAAATCCTGTAACGCACTCAGCTGCCAGCAACAGCTAATTGTCGACGAGTACATTTCACCGACTAATTGTGATTAAATTCTTTTTAAAATAATATGTTAAAAAGAAAAGAAATATGCCATTTGCATTAATATGAGCCCGCCAGCATTTGCGGAAAGGCAAATTAATTGTTGAAAAAATACAACACAAATGTTTAAGAAGCGCATCCCACAAAAAATGTTGCATATTAAAAATTAAATTTATTTTAATTTTTTGTTGGAATCTATGTTTTCCCCTACAAAAAACTATCATTTGAAATTGTATTCAGAAATTACAAAAATGTACATACATTTTGTTTGACCATGACCATGACCATTCACATTTTCGCTAACAAACAAACTTGCCCATTCGGCGATACAATTTTATATATATTTTATTTTTAACTTTCGCTTGACTCACAACTTCAGACTTAACTCAACAAATTGTGATGTTCGAAAATGTAGTGTTCTATTTGGGCCAATAAGGCATCTCTATTTTGCAGTTGCTTTGGATGTTGTGTGTGAATGCTGGTGATTTAAGTATACATTTAGTAATTTGCTAATTTAATAATATTTACGTCGGATATGCAAAATATTTTTGATGCAGATTGTTCAGAAAAACTATAAGGTTTATATTCAAATGATTATTTTTATTTGGAAAAATGTCTTTGTTAGTGTTTTTAATCAAAACTCCTGGAAAAGTAAACGAGATTTGAAACATGCCAATTTCTGTGGCACCGAATTGGTTTTAAGGCGAAACCTGGGCGGACGAGATTTCTGTGGCACCCCTGAATAGCATACATTTAATCTGGATTGTGTTTTGCTCGCTCGTGTTTGTGTGTGCATCACAGAGATACGTCAGAGTACCAATAGCAGCGGGCAGACATCACATTTATACCCTGTACCCAAAGAGTGAAAGGGTATACAAGTTTGTGCGAATGTACATATGTATGTAAAACACAGAAGGAGGCGTGGCAGACCCAAAAACTTATGTATATATATTACTTACAGTGCCTGCAAATAACTGTTAACCGTTTCTCTACGTCACAAAATAACTGTTACCTACGGACGTTTTTGGGAAATAGTCACAGGTGATCCGTTCACTTCGTATGATGAATAAATCGTTCTCACTTCAACCAAGAACCAGTTTTTTGTTTCTTTTGATATGATTATTTACTGGAAGTTTGGTCGTGAGCCTGAAAGTCTTTTGCGTGTATGTAAGTGTATGACTTATTTGTTGATTTGATTTTCTTAATTCTATGCTTTTAAACAATAAAGAATATATTAAGCTTCTTTAATATATAAATAATGATCATTTTTATACTCTGTACATAAAATGTACAAGAGTATATTAGATTTGCGGGAGGTGAAAAATGTAACAGGCAGAAGGAGGAGTGACAGACCCCTAAAGTATATATATTCTTGATCAGCATGACAAGACGAGTTGATCTATGTATGTCTTTCTGTCTGTCCGTCTATCCGTATGAACACCTGGATCTCAGAGACTATAAGAGATAGACCCCAAATTTTACAAAAAAAAATGCCTTATGTGTGTACGCTATACGACTTCCACTTCCCCCCAAGGGGGGGGGGGGGGGGGAAGAAGAAACATAAAACACATAAGCACATAAGAAACAGTGAACCTACATACACACAAATATAGTGCAGCTAAGCAACAGAACAAAAGTGTGAACCAGTGAACTAAACTGGCTCATCGCACAGCCCAATTTCGTTTTCAGGCTTTTCCTAATTTTTGTGGGGTGATACAGCGCAAGCAAATATATAAAACCAACAACAACGAACACAACGCAAGCCAAGATAAAATGAGTGAAACAAGCAAAGCAAGAGACAAAGAAAACTATTAAAAATTCAAAGCAAGCCAGAACAACGTGGACAAAGATGAATCAGTGTGAGCATGTTCCAGTAGCCACTACAAGTAGAAATCCGGGGGTGGGAACCGGATGCGATCGAAAAAGCGATCCAACTCGACGACCTCAAGCAGAACTTCGCAATGTTCATAGTGAGGGGAGCACTGCACCGTGAAACTTGGGCTCGGCTAGCGGTACTTGAACGGCGAAATCCGAACCGACCCCAGTTCCTGAGTTTGGACATGATCGTGTCGTGACATGACAGTTTGTTGCGCATTTCGACTACGAATGCGCCGCGTGATTTCCAAATGACCGGAACTGTCTCACCTGCATATGTACCTCTCACCCAGCATGGTTTGTGTCCCAACTAGGAGCCAAAGCCAAATCCATCGCAAGCAAGTCGAACTTTACGTTTCGAAGAACCAAACCAAAATAGATCTGCAAGGGGAGATGTCATGGCATCCTTGTCGCCTTTTGTTTCTACTCCAGAGTGCCTAAGGCAATGGGGACTTCGTTTTGATGGGCGAGCTGAGTCACTTGCATTCATAGAGCATAGAGAGAAGAAGGGCTATCTCTTACGGTATAGAGTTCGAAGACTTGCCACGGGCCATGCTAGAAGTCCTAATCGAGAAAGCCGCACTTTGGTTCCGCACAAGCTGGCTGCAGAATGCTACATGGGTGACATTTCGTAAAGAATTTTCAAATTTTTTTCTTCCTTTCAATTATTGTGGGGGAGAGTTTTAAAGATTTCGTTGATATTGCGTGCACTCATGCACCATGCAGGTTACACGGATTCTCAAGAACTGGATTGCATCTACGAGAATACATTACGCCACGAGTTCCGAACACTGCCTCACCTTATCCAACTTATTGGAGAGTTAGAAAGCGTCAAGCAGCGTGGTCAAAGGCGCACGTCTTTGGCCACACCTTTCGTCAGTACCTCGCCAAAGCAGTTCGCATACAGTTGCAAGTACAACGTATGGCCATAGCATCAACGCAAGCTCAGCCACATTCGCAACCAGCTGATGACACACGGCTCGCTCGGCGAACATGCAGAAATTATAGCCAGCAGGGCCATTTCCAGGATCAGTGCCATATCAGGATGCACCGAACGTGGTGCGCAAGGCTGCAGCTCCAGTCAACAATCCATTGCCCAGCTCAGGATGGCCTGCGAGTTGCGATGCACCGAACGCGGTGCGCATGGCTGCAGCTCCAATCAACAATCCATTGCCCAGCTCAGGATGGCCTGCGAGATTCAATGATCCGAACGCGGTGCGCATGGCTGCAGCTCCGACCAATACGTCATTGCCCAGCACTCGATAGCCTGCGCGTTGCGATGCGCCGAACGTGGTGCGCATGGTTGCAGCTCCCGCCAAAACACCATTACCCACTACTACTACATTGTCTCCTACGACTACGAAGAAGTCCATACGACACTACTGATGTGGCTAAAGAACACGAGGAAGACAAGAAGCAGCAGAGCCACGGCCGCCGATTATGAAGTCCAAGACCCAAAGAGTTCTAGTCCAAGAATCCTGGTCGGGTACTTTCGATTAATCTATGCATTAACTAGAATTAAACCCAGCAAACCATGTCAGCTAAGTTTTAATAGAATGTGCTAGACCTACCTATTCAACGATTCCAGATGTCCAGGTCCACGGAAGGTCAGATATCCGCTAAGCCGGTCCCCCGAAGAAGAGGAAGAGGGTGTGACGCGGTAAAATTCCACACATTAAATACTATCGCTACACATCGCACATGATCCTATTACTTATATTATTACTAGACTTAATATTACTTAATAAACATAGCTCGCTCTCTTCTCCGGAGACCCAAGCAAGCAGACGTGCGACTCGGCGAGTACTAGCAGTGAGGTATCGAACATAACCTCGATCAACCTAACACCAAATCCAAGTAAGTTCTGGTAATTAGGCAATCATCGTGGTGCAGCGTAGGGCCAAGAGCATAGAGATTATAAATAAAGGACATTGTGAAGAATATTTCAGTGCGTACTTAATTATTGTTCTCTAAACAATTCTCCGTCGCTATGAGCGAAACTTACATATACCAGGCTTGAGTCGGTATATATGTAAAATGCGACTGCAACAGCAAACAAGTGTTGGGTGTTATATTTAGCCGCGCACGAGTCGGCAATGTAACGCCAAACGAGCCTACTTCCTTCCACGCATCCTTTAGCTCCAACGGCTATAAAGACTGCATGAGCCGCGATATATGAAATTGTCCACTCGAACAACTTGAGTCTTGGGAGTTATATTTGACGTGCCGACCGATATAACGCCAAGACACAGGCCACGCGGCGACTGATCCCCTACAGTAGGCATCGAGTCCCTCTTGTCACATGGTCCCGTCACAAACTTACATTTTTTCTTGTAAGGAACTCTGGACAGCTGAGTTATACCTTTTTTTAGGGGACTGAAATATGGGAGTTTTCCTGTAAAAAGAAATGGGACACAAAAGGAAACCGCGTCGACAGCCCACAGCCCAAACGGCAAGAGCTATGAAGCTGAAATTTGGGCTCAAGGATCCTATCATAGTGAAGGTGCCCACTAAGAAGGGATTTTGGAAAATTCAAGCTCCAAATGGTGGAAAACGAGCTCCAAAGTTTGTTTTTTTAAATTCTGCATTTCTGCACTGATCAACTTTAAGTTAGATTTTTATAATCTATAAAAGAATACAAACAAAACTGCATACTCGGATTTTCGAAATTTGTGGTGGAGCTTGAATTATTGGAGTTTTAATATTTATTCACCTTTTCAAATGAAAAGTTTATGTTTTAAATTTTTCCCGATCGATTTCAATTTTGGGGCTGTAATCTACGTAATTAAATCTACAACTTTGCGTTCAAGGATTTTTAAAATATGCATTTTACAAATGCAGACAACAAACAATACAAAATATCAAACAGTTGGGGACAACTAAGTATACATGTAC